TTTTGAAAAGAAGGCTGTTAATGTAAAGCCGGTGTTGATATATTCGGGTGAATTATAATGGGGATATTATTACAGCCTTCAAAGCTGAAAATGTATTATTTTTCTCACCTACTTTTGGTTGCTGATATTTGATCAGAGGAACATACTGTGCATCTGGCTAATTTGGGGATACTTATTTGTAGATTCTCAAAAGTCAAACTTTATCTTTCTGTATGTGTTCTCTAGTTACTCCCCCCGCCCCCAGCCTGTAATGGGGAAAGAGATAGCAATGCAGTCTGCCTGTACTCACCTGGTTGCTGGGGGATGCCGAACCCCCAAACATAACCTTTCAGACTTTTATAGCTTACTATTAGAAGTGCTTACAATGAAGATGTTTGAGGAAGTACTGATTTATCAGTGATTTTATGAATAAAGATAACAATTGTCTCTTGCCACGGCTGATTATAATTTCTAAAATCTTTCATAGTAAGTCTTGTTTCTCCGTCTGTATTTTCAAATGCCCATTGTCTTTGTGTGGAAGAGGTCACTCTGGATCAAAGAAACCTGGGGTAAACAGGTGCACCTCTCCATGGAACTCTTTAGGCTAAACACAGAACAGAGTATCCAGTGAGAAAATTAAAATTAGAACATTTTATAATTATAATCTGAAGTAATTTATTTTAAAGTTAATTTGTGTGCTGTGGCCCAGGTTCTGAAGGGATGGAGATGCCATGTCTCCGTTCGCCTTCTCCTGTGCCCTTTCCCCTGGCATAGAGAGGTTATTTTATTATTGTGTATTTGAGTCAGTGGACAAAAGAGTGAGTAGAAGAACTCTGCTGAATTTCAGAGAAAAGGTTCATTTCCTCGGTCCTTGCTCTTTAGAATATGCAACTGTTTTGTCCTGAATGATCAAAAAAACACGTATATGATCACATGGGGAGAGTTTTATACACACACACACACACACACACACACACACACACACAATTAGTAATAGTTCCTACCAGGTGGCACCTGTGTGCGAGTTTCAGCTCCAAGTATTTCCCACATAGTAATCCCTAATCTTCATGACTGTTTGCGGAGGGAACAGATGGTTGCTTTGTAGATGTGGAAACTGAGGCACGCATTAGGCCAAGTCACTTTCCAGAGTCTTGGGTCTTCTGTTTCACTGTATTAGGATTCGAACACAGTACAGTTTTGTCCTGGAACCCTTGCTTACAGTCTGATGACACACACTCCTGTGGAGTCCCACGCCCGGCTGGAGGAATTGCCTACAGGTGCTCTTTTAATTAACATGCTGAGAAATTCCCTAGAGATACTCCTCCTGCTTTTGAATCTTATCTCGGACCTTGTATCAGCTCTGGGAGTGCAGATCTGGGTAGTTCTTCTGCTTCTGCCAGTCTTCCCAGCCTCTGGTGGGGGTGGGGGGTGGGGGGGTATACTGGTTTCGCCAGAGTGTTGCATTTGGGCCCTGGGGTAAGAGGTGCTTAGCTTTGGTCTCCGAAAAACTCAGTTACCGTCTTGAGGAGTTTACTTACAACCCATCCAGTCAGCTTATTTTATTCTTACCGAATTGTGTCCTTGTTTGAATTAGGTGTACATAGGAACACATGATAATTATTATCAAACCCTAAGGAATTTAGTTAGGTCAAGGAAATAAGCAGATGGATTTCTGGAAGAGCAGGAAGGTCCTCAAAAGAGAAAGAATGGAGGAATGGCCTTGTGCCGCTTTGAGGGAGATGAGAAATGTTCTGATTTAAGATTTAAAAGGGGGCTAGAGGCCGGGTAGCATAATCCTTAGGACTGGGGAGCCTAGCTCTGGTCTGGGTTATTTCACCTTTCTGTGACCATTTTGGCTTCCCTCAAGAATGGTTTGATGGCAGGAATCCTTGGCTCCCTAGCACATCCTGAGGATCGAGACAGTAAGGATTCATGGTGTACTTCAAAGGATTCTTGCATGCAGGAAGTATGGAACAAATATTCTCATGGAAGTTGTCATTTTGCCATGGAGGAAATTGAATCTGAGGAGAGAAATTACTTAGCCAAAGTGGGAATCTTGACACACATGTAGACGGCCTTTTTAGTCTATTGAGAATTGGTGCAGAGCAAGCCTTTGCTTGACAGATACATGGCCTCTGCACTTTACTTGGGATCTCAAATACATACTCAACTTTTTGTCCTTTTCATCCGTCCCCCCCATCCTCTGACCCAGGGCAATGAATATATGCTGGGTGATTCGGAAGAAAGTGATTGTAAGCCAGCATAATGGGAAGGAAAAACAACTTCCCAGACATTTCTTCCATATAGAATCCAAATTTCAAATGTATTAATTTTGCCGAATGCCATGGCAACATACATATCTGCTTTTCAGTTCCTGAAAGGTATTTTGGGAATTATTGGCTCATGCTAGCTTGAGCGTTCGCGTCTTTCAGCTATAGAAATGCACCGTGTAGCGTCTTCATTCTGTGTTTGTGCTTCTATTCAAGAGGAGAATAAAAGCGGTCCATTCCTGGGTTGTAATATCCTCCGTGAGCCGTGGCTTTCTAAAACAGTCACACCTTGACTGAAATGAAAACTCCGCCGTATCATAAAAGATATTCTAATTACTGCATCTAGTTAAAAGGAGAATAAATCACTAAGAGATTATTTTAAGTGCCTTAAATATAATAAAAAAGAATAATGGACGCTGAACAGCTTGACAAGTTTGATGAATGCAGACGAAGGCTGCTTTCTGTTGCTTTTTGATGGAGAAGTGCATTTTACTTCCCGGGTATATTGTCAGAGGGAATTTTTGTTGGGAGATAAGGAGAAACCTTATCTTGGTTGAACATTTGCCAGGCCCCAGCATTAGCCTAGGCAGTACGTTATCTCAATCTCATTCAATCCTTCTCCGCCTTCTAGATAACATTATCCCCATTTTACATCTAAGACAAATGAGGCTTGGAATTTAAATCACTTGCTTCGAGGAGTGGAGCAACTGAGGAGAACCTAGAGTGTAGCCCGGGAGACTGAGACGTGGTGCCTCCCCCTTCTCTTTTATTGTTCCACAATAGCAATTGTCTCCATGGCACAGAGACACCAGTTGCATCACTTCTAATTGAGAATGGGTGTGTCCAGTGGGTTAAGCCTCTGTAAAATGGAAGAGTCGGCTGCTCCTTAACAGGGCACAAAAGGTTCTCTTTTTTATGTTAGCCTAATAAAAAGCAGTCTATGTACCTCTTTGCTCCATGTTTGGCCCACAGCAGAGGAGTGGCTGGGATAGTTTACTTTTAAAGTATTCAATGATATTCTCTCCCACTGATGGTAACTTAAGAGTTTTAGGTTATGTTTAATTATATGTTTAACCAAGAAGTTTTTAGCTGGTCCTGCACACTCAAATCATGTCCACTAAGTCTCTTTAAATTACCTTACCAGTCACGATGATGAGAGAGGGGCTGGAGAGATGGCCTAGTGGTTAAAAGCACTTACTGCTCTTGTAGAGAACCCCAGATGTGATGGCTCTCAGGGAATCTCATGCCAATTCCTGGCATGAGATCTGCTTCCATGGATGTGGTGCAAAATCCATTCAGGTGTGTGCACAAACACACAGACACACTCACACAAATAAAAAAAAATAAATCTATTAGAAAAGAAACAGTGTATGGCTACTGAAACTGTTGTGAGTTCCATTAACAGTGATAGAGTTTCGAAAACATTTTGTGAGTTTTCTGTTGGACATTCTCTCATAAGAAAAAATTCCTAATGGTTGTGAGAGTGCCGGTGTGGGTTTGTGAACAGGTGTGTGGGTTATATTGCTATAACTGAGGGACGGTGAGAAAATGAACTCAGAGGCCAGTCTTCCAGCTTTGGGTTTCATTGGCCATCTTGAAAATCGTTTTTACTCATTAAATGTGTCGCTGATTTTTGACCTATGCAGTAAGTCTATATTTTCTGGTTGACCACCATATTCCTGTACATCTCTCACGTGAGTTTGGGAGTTGCTTTGTAGATTTCTTTTCTTAAATCTGGCAAACAAAACCTAAAAAGTATTTAAAAGAATATAAAATGCAGGTGCTGATACAGTGTCACCTGCCACTAGAAGTGTGTGTGTGTGTGTGTGTGTGTGTGTGTGTGTGTGTGTTGTGTGTCTGTGTGTGTTCACATGGGTGGGTGCACTTGCTGGTGTAGCAGCCAGACATTACTTGAGTATCTTCCTTTATTCTCCACTTCTTTTGATTTGTTTTGTTTGTGTGTGTTGGGTGTACTTGCAGAATATACCCTTCCCTCACTCTGTGTGTGTTCATACATGCAGAGGCCAGAGGAGGTTTAATCTCCTGATCTGTTACTCTCCCCTACTCCCTTGTGATGGTGTCTCTCAGCCAGAAGCCTGAGTGATCCTCCTGTCTCTATCCCCCATCCCTATCCTTGGGATTATAAGAGCACATGACCATGCCTGGCTTTTTGTGTGGGTGCTGGGGATTTGAACTGGGGTCTTTACACTTGCATAATGAACACTCACCATTCCCCCCACAGCCCTTCCACCATGTATTTTGAGACAGGATTTCTTCACTGATCCTGAAGCTCACCATTTTGGCTAGACTGTCTGGTGTCTGGCTCCTGGGATCTCTCTCGACATTCTCACCCTCCCACAGTGCTAGGGCTAGAGTCAGCCATTATATGGATGCTAGGGATCTGAATTCCAGCTTGTACAACAAGTGCTTTGCCCACTGAGCATCGCCCCAGCCCTATTCTGTGGAAGTTTTCTTTTTGTGTGTGGTGCTGCTGATTGAATTTTTTTTTTTTTTCCCCCAGACAGGGTTTCTCTGTAGCCCTAGCTGTCCTGGAACTCACTAGATCAGGCTGGCTTCCCTCAAACTCAGAAATCCACCTGCCTCTGCCTCCAAGTGCTGAGATTAAAGGCGTGTGCCACCACCACCCAGCTGAATGTATTTTTAATAAGACTTCATTGGGATCAGGATTGTATTCATGTATATTTAATTGAGGGTATTTATAGGAATGCTACTCATGAAAACTTATAGAAATTAAGAAACTCTTCTGTTTTAATATTTTTCCCAAGTCTTTTTTAAAATAAGGAATATTACAAAATCATATATTTCTTGCTTGCCTCGTTAAACCTAATTTCCACACACTCCCATTTAAAGATGTACAGAATTACTTACTGGACTAACAAGTATATCCTCACATTCAAATATAAAATTTTACAGAATCATATGTGAACTGTCAACAAGTTCACGAAATTATATTCTGAGTTTTTTTTCAAAAATACTGCTATCTTAATAAGTAAAAGTCCAGCTTAACAGTGATCTCAGTTTGTGTGTGAGTGTGTATAATTACGTGTGTATGTGTGTGTGTACATGTATGTGTGTGAGTGCATGTGCATTTGTTTGTATGTGTAGGTCAGAGGTCAGAATCAGGTGTCATTCCTCAGTAATGTCCCTGATTCTCTAAGACAAAGTGTCTGATTGGTTTGGGGATCACCAAGTCCTGGAGGCTGGCAGGCCCTCGAACCCCAGGGGTCCTACTGTTAGCACCTCTGTGGGTTTGGGGTTACAGACATACACTACTGTACCTTTCTGGTTTTCAAGGTTTTGAGTTGAGATCCTCCTACTTGGGATGAAAACACTTTAATAGTGTGAGCTCTCTCCCAGCTCCTGCTCTCAAATTTTCTTAAGCTCACGTGGATCCTTAATATTTTATTGACTGATGACAGATAATGTCATAGTCTCCCTTCCTTTGACATATTGAATTTTATGAAGATGTAAATAAGTACCAAAGGGACGACGAGTGTTGTTTCCTAATCAGGGATGACCTTTGCCATGATCTCTCTTGATCAAATAAGCAGATAGTATTTACAATTGTATTAGTGTGTAAATGAGAATACAGTTTATAATAAAGGTGCTAATAGTCAGTCTGTTTAATGATCTTTTATAACTAAATTTTAGTTCGGATCGTATGACCTCCTACTGGTAAAAATAGTATGGAACTGGTTTGTGTCTGAGAACTGTGTTTAGAATATGTGTGGTCAATGGTTTAAGGGATAGATTAAACAATGGGTCTCTCATTAAAATTATTTTTATTAAAAAATTATATTATGGTCGATTTTCAGGTTAGATACAGAGTAAGATATTCCTGTTGTAATTAGCTGTCTTTGTAAGTATCTGCGTTGTTAAATATTTTATGGCTGCCCCATGAAAATCTTCATGGTTCAAAATTTGTAGTGACTTTGATCAAATTAATGAAACTAGGGTAATGTGAATCGTGTTTTAAAAAAAGAATCCTTTTAAAGTTGTGATTACTGTGTTAAAAATGCAATTTACAGTGTGAAATGCCATACAAAGGTTAAATGGTATTAAAGATAATAATGTGTATAACGAAATTGAGAAAAGAGTGTTTAACAAGAGTTTTTTATGGTTATGGAAAGGAAGGAGGAATTTTTACACTATTAGTAACCATTTGGTATTTTCAAGTTCAGCAGCCTCAAATAAATGTATCGTGAAAATGAAAGGGCATATTTCTTTTTCTTTTTTAAATTTAATTTTATTTTATACATATGGGTTTTTTTGTCTGCATGTATGTCTTCTACATCACATGTGTGCCGTGCCCATGGAGGTCAGGAGAGAGCATTGAGTCCCTAAGAACTGTGAGGCACCATGTGGGTGGTGGGATCTGAACCTGGGTCCTCTGGAAGGGTGTTGGCAAGTGCTCTTAACCGCTGAGCCACCTTCCCAGCCTCTCTATTAAAAAAAAAAAAATTTTTTTTTTTCTTTTTGAAATAGGCTTTCTCTATCTAGCCTGGATTGTTTTGGAATTATCTGTAGCTCAGGCTGCCCTTGAATTTTGATTCCCTTACCTCATCCTTCCAAGCACTGAGATTAGAGTCAGGCACCACCACACCCAGCTACCATGGCACCCAGCTACCACGGCACAATTCTTAGAGCCCTGCGCACACTCAAGTCACACCAGTGGTGGTAGAGGTCTTAAGTGGTATTATTTGTTTTTCTGGATTTCACCACAGTTCCTTGGGGGTCATTTTTTCACTGGTTTTCATTGTGTTGACTCTCTTTTTCAACCCCAACTCTCTTTTGATTTCATTGGTTGTGTTTTCAGTCCCTTGATGTTCTCTCTGGTTCTACTTCAAGTTGATCTGTTCCTGTGGTTTCTGGTCTTTCCTTTGCATCTCCCAACATTTAAAAGGCTGCCGGCCTCTGAGTGGGCCGTTGACTCTGTGTGTCAAAGATCTTGGGTGCTATCAGCCCCTTGTGTTTCTGTGGCCGACTCCACAGTTGATCTCTTTGTCATGTGTTTCTAATTTTTGGTTTTTGAGAATTTATTTTCTTTTTTAAAAATTACACCTTAAAAATGATTTTTTTTTTTTAGAAGTTTGAGCTCATTTTCAACTGGGCCATTTATCTTCGCTGTAGTGCCAAGTGCTGTGGTTTAGAGCATAGTTCTTAAAAGCTTGTTTTATGTTAGTTTCTTCCAGTTTCCTGGGAATTATTTTTGGACCTAACGTTGGTCTTTACATGAATTTTATGATGTGGGATCCCAAACTGTGTAAATAGTATGAAGTTAGCTTTTGCTAGTGCATATAGGGCGGCTTCAGAGATTTGGTTACTAGCAATCCCCCGGCCTTCCCCTCCCCCAGCCTTCACCAGCATGTGTTTTGGGACTCCTTCACTGAATTAATTGGTGACATACAGTCAGTCAGTAGCCTTTACAAATCTCTGGCTTTGTGTAGAAGTCTTAGGACCTATCCCTCCTGAGGCATTGACACACTAGTCCCTATGCCTTGGCCTAGACTGTTATGACACTGTAGCCCTGCTGTTCCCCCTTGATGCTTTCTGCTCAGAACCTGAAGGGCTTCTGTCGGAAGAACAGAATCTCTGTTCTTCCATTTCAATCTCTGAAATCCCACCAGGATCCTCTTAGAGACACAGCCATCTAGAGAAGTACTGTAAAAAGATGGGGGTCGGTCTTTGTAGCCGCTTTCACTGAAAGGTCGTTGGTACGCATAGGGTGTGTTTAACATTCCTGCAATCATTCTGTTGTTTTCCCATGGGCTTGGTCTCTGGGGCCAGGCACTGGCCTATCAGAAGGGTTGCCAGCACTAACGCCCTACATTCTGAGGAAACTCTCAGTCCTGGGTGGACCTGGACACTTTTTCTTCCTAGTCTTCGTTTCTCTTCTATAGACTCTGAAAGTCTTCAAAAGCTGTCCTGCCTGGGAGCCTGGTGACCCAAGCTCCACCTCCGCTGAAACATTCAGATTTCTTCGTTAGGATGTTTTAAATAAGTCAAATACTAACTAGTAGTCTATTTGAGAGCAGGCTCTGGATGGCTGGTGGACGGAAGGCTTCCCAGCTCCTGAGAAAGTCTAGGAACCGTGATCACAATGTACTTAATTTAGTCTTTCTGCTGGGGGACTGGCAGATGATGCTTCGAGAGCTGTCTTCAGTGTTGCTGTGGGTAGCGCTGAAAAACCTTCAAGTATGCATTTCCCATTGCTTTTATTGTAGACATCTGTGAGGCAAAGAAGAGGCAAATGATAGCTTTACTCATTTACCAGTGATGCAAATCAAATGTGCCCCTGGCAACAAAACGACTCCTGACACCTTTGCCCTTTTCTGCACTGATTTGAACTGTAGATACTTGTTCGCACTCCATTCCAGACTCGCAAATGACGCCAGCTCCCAGGATAACCTCCATACCTGGGTCGCTCACCATGGCCTGTGGAGCTCAGGGGGTCCTTGTGCATTAAGACTCTATTGTCTACTCACTGATTAAGACTTAGTGACCTGGAGACCAGTGGGTGGCTCCTATAGGAAAGGCCTAGATCTCCATCACCTGTCCTTGGAGTGAGAAAATACCCATGAGCCCTTCCTCAGTTTCTGAATCATGATTCTGAAAGAACCCTTCCCGAGAATTAAACAAGACCCTCAGCACACATCTGAGCACACAGTTCACATGGGAATGAGACTCTTCTCTGGAAGGAGGGTAATTCAAAAAGCTAATCCAAGGGGAAAGGACACTGTCCAGGAAGCAAAGTGGGGTGGCCAGGATGCTTGACTATGTGAGCACCGTTTTTTGCAGATATCAGTTCCAGGGTGGCTTGCATTTTCTTCAAACCTTCCAGTGTGATGGGAGACACAAAGGTTTTGGGGTTTCTTTTTGAACAAATTTATTCTGTAATAGCAACAAAATTCATAGTGCAGACTTTCCAGTGGCATTAGCATACTTATTTGATTAATTTATTGTGGAAATCTTCGATCTTAGGAAATCTGTCTTATGTTGGTTCTGATAACAGGACAATATTGTCATAATGCCTTATTGCTTGATGAAGCATCCCAATAGCTGTAAACTTGATATTTTCTTATACTTATTTCTGAATAATTGTTTGTGCTGATTGCTATTATCTTTTTTACAGAGTCATTGGCTTTTGAAAGCCTAATGTGTTTAGGGAGACACTGGGTTATGTAATTATATTAACTGTAATTCTGGTCTTTTGTACATTTGTTCCTATGGAGCTGTGGTTTAATAGCCCCAGGCTGGAAGTTTAACAGCTCATGGTCCTGTCCCCATGATGCTGTTAAATGTGAACACATATTTGAATGTTAGAGACTAGGATTTCCTGGTCTTCAAACAGTCAAACACCTTTTCTGTACTTCGCAGAAACACAGTAGTGACTTACACAGTTTAGATGCTGTCTGAGGGAGATCAGGAATGAAAACCTCACCAAAATTTTACTAGAAATATTATTTCTCTTTGTTGGCTTTGAATCTAGGGATTGCTTGTGATCTGAGATAATACATACATATATATATATATATATATACATAAAATATATAATAGTGAGAAATATTACAACTTTAATTTCTTATTGTGGCCAGATTAATCAGGTGAAAGCATGAAGCACAGTTTTATGTAAATTACACATTTTAGATTGGAGAAAGTGGAAAAACTTTTTTTTTTTTACAATAAAAGCTTTACTAAGCCCTTTTATGGATTTTCTGGTTTGTTCTCATTTGTCACTGAACTGCTTCCAGATGTAAAATAGTAGTTTCTCGAAATTGCAAGGACTCTGCTATCAAGACCAGGTGGGCATGACTTTATAGCCATTTCACTTCTAATTTTTAGTGTTGGAACCCCAAGAATGTCTGGAGCTGATAATTGATTTAACTCTGTACCTACTAATTGGACCAGGGCACAACTTGGTGTTTTTATCTCTTCTATTATACATTTTATTTCTGCTTCAATTATTGTGTGCCTTTGGCAAAAAGGAGATGATTTTACTCTGTTTTAAGATTTGCCTCTGAAAGGGGGGGGAATATTTTTTATCACCTATTTTCTCACATAATCTGGTATGGTTCTCAGACAATGAGAAGAATGAGACAACTCTGTAAGGCTTGGTAGTGTTATGTCTATGTGCGTGTGTTTGTTCATGTGGGTGTATGCTTGTGAGTGTTTGCGCGTGTGCCTTTGGAGACCAGAGTTCAACCTTGGTCAGCATTCCTTAGGAGCTGTCCACATTTATTCATTGGTTTTTTTTTTTTTTTTGAACGTAGACCAGGCTGGTCTGGAATTTACAGAGATCCACCTGTGTCCGTCTCCTGAGTGGTAGAATTAAAAGTGTGTGCCACCACATTGAGCCACATTGAGTGTATTTTGAGACAGGGTCTCTTACTGGTTCAGAGCTTACCAAGTAAGTACTCTAGGCTAGCTAGCCTATCTTTGCCTCTTCAGTGCTGGGATTAAGCTCAGCCACCGTCACCATTGCCTGGCTTTCCTATGTGGGTTCCAGGGCTCAACTTCAGCTTATGAAGCAAGCGTTTCACTGACCGAGTAAGCTCCCTGGCCCCTGTTATATTGCTTTGTAAAAATAATAATCGGAAAAAAATTTATTCCTTTGATTTCTAATATGCCAATTCTAAAAAAGAAAAGAAACCTGTTTGTACATGTTCCATCCCCTTGTTGGTGAGTTTACCTAACTAAAGTAAGAATGGTATCTGTAATTATTTGTTCATGTTGGTGTAGAATTTGAATTCATTGTAGGCGGCTGTGATTTTTCTACCTTGACCCTTTTTGGCAGAACCTTGAATCTTTAGGTGCTGCTGTCCCTGGAAGGGTTTGCTAAGTCGTACCCTTGGTGATGGCAGTAGACACCACACTCAGGGGAACAGTCCTGAAATTCGGAGACCCTTCTTCACTGACCCCCAGCCACTGTCCCTCATGGGATGCTCTTGGCAGCCTCAGTGGGAAATCTAACTGAGGCGTGGAGACTGAAGCTCGATTGTCTCCCCTGGGTTGTAAGGATAAGGGTTCTTCATACTCAGCGCCTGGGCACACAGTAGGAGCTTTCCTCTTTCCTCTTCATTTACTACTGTGTCATTTTGTTTATATGTTCACAGGATCCAAGTGGAATGTAAATAGCATGGTGATGTTTAAGAAAGTGACACATAGGATCGATGTCGCAGTCTTGAAAAGAGGCTTTCTAAATGGCAATTTGAATCTCCTTTCATGAGAGCCCTGAGCTGCTTGAGCGAAGAACACAGCTCAGAACTCTTAGGTTCCAGCCCCGCCCCCACCTTCTGGATCCTTGCTCTTGAAAACCTTCTGGGCATCTAGTGGACACTCTGGTGGTCGGAAACCTAAGCCTTTTTCTTCGAGTGGAAAGGTGGGGTGGGGATGGCTGAGCATCGAGTGAGAGGGACGGACACACAGCGCCTTGTCCAGCACTGCCATCTCTTCCAGACATATAATGCCATGTCCCGCTCTTAGCTGTCTCCCACTCCCCAGTGCCAGCAAAGCACCTGGGAGGCCTTTGCTTGTATTCTTCTCAGGACACACCAGGTCTACCTGACCTCATTTTGCATTCGTTTAACTTGAGTCTGTCGCTTTCTCTTCCGCTTTAGCAGTTAAGTTCCAGCGAAGCCCAGTTGTAAGCATTGTGGCACAGGGAAAGTGCACCACACATATTTTCTTAAAGAAAGAACAAAGGAAGGTGAAATGAAAGGAGACATTGGCAAGTGGAGGGACCTGGAAGGAGAACACTGAAAGCCGAGGATGAAAAGAGATGTCTTCTAACTCATTGAGATTATCAGAAAGCAGTCCTCTTATTAATGGGAATTTAAAAAAAGAGTCTGCTGGACTCTTTGGAAGGAGTCTAGATTTGGTTATGTGGAAATTTGCAGTAACAAGTTTGCCAAATGTTTCCTCGTGAACAATAAGAGTAGGAGAAGGTCTGGAAACTTTGGAGACACTTGCAGATTGTCCTGAATTTGCAGCGCAGGGTTGTGACGCCTAGGCATTGAGGCTGCCCAATGATCCTCTGAGCAGCTGGGGAGGCCTTAATGGTGTCCAGCTGTGTGCCCAGGGACTGCCTCCTCTCAGAGTCACATTAACCAGGTAGAGACCCTGCCCTGCCTGCCTCCCTGTGGACTTTATGGGTCCCTGTAGACTGTTGCATTGATCTTTCGTTTTGGGGTTTTATAGCAATTCTAAGCATGTGAGTGTGCACATATTCACTCTTTGATGTGCCCTTTGATAGAAGCCAGAGCGCTTTACCTGTGCCTGTGTTTAATAATAGTGGGGGGTCGAATGCCCTGCAGCACAGTACTCCCTGGGATGCTGGTTGCATGCCACTCTATTGGGGATGCTGGTTGGCAGGCTTTAATCAGGGGTGTTTGAGCATGAAATATATTAAAGGTAGTTAGACATATAGCTTTGTTACCATTTTGTTTTGTTTGTAACCACACTTTTATTCCATTGTGTCACTCTCTAGAAAGGAGGGTGGGTGGGGACTTATAGGAGACCCAAATGGCAAAACTCACACAATCACAGGACATCTGTGACTTGTCATATTTTTTTTCTTACTTTGTTTTTCTGATATCCTTATGAGACCAGTTCGTACCCCGTTTTCAGATAGGCAAGTTAAGCATTTTGGAACCCTGCTTTCACTGCGCTCTTAGAATTCTGTACTCTTTTAACATGTGAAAATCTAATGTGACCATGACACAGAAGGATATTTTCAAGGCTTGTGGGGAAGTGGCTGCCTATTTTCATGGGAACTCACTGTATATAGACTGCACCATATGTTTTAAGAGTTGGAAGAACCTTCAATGGGACCATCCCCTATGTGGGAATCCCCTCTCCTACAAGGCAGCTACAGAGGCATGATCTGACTGGACCTGGATATTTCCAGTTTTCAAACTGTCAACATGTCAAAGGGTTAGGATAGTTGAATAAATCTTTATATGCTTAGGCCCAATAGTATTTAGCAGAAGTGATCATATTATGATTTTCTCTCTTCCCTTGACTTTTTTTTTTCCCATCTCTTGACCACCCCTTATTTATTAAAAAAAAAAAAAAAAAAATCAGCTTTCCATGTCCTTAACTTCAATTAGTGAGGACTTGATTTGGAAGGGCCAGGAGTTCCCTAGATGCTGATGTGGCTTTTACAGGTGACAGGATTCTGTTAGGATTGGAGACTGAGCCATGATACGCCCCAGCTGCTGACAGTAATGATACTGAGGAAGTGATGTCACTTACCTACTTAATCCATCTTTGGTGGCATCGCTGGAAGAGGTTGTGTTTCTTTGGAGTACTCAGGTCACATAGTACAAGTTAGATGAGACATTTAAAAAAGACACTGTGGGCCTGAAGTGCTCAAACGGCAGGTGGCCCCAAACGACCCATTTCCCTGGGCTCACTCCTAATTACTTTGTTGTTTGTTGGAATTCATTGATGAGGGTAAATCCAATTTTGAGGTCGTATACTGGAGCAAGTCCTAAGTATTTGATGACACACAATTTTGGGACATTTCTAAGTTTCATAATTCCTGAGTTTAGGAACATTAGCAGTGGTGTAGGGGTGCTCTATGGAAGTGTCATGGCTACATTAGTAGAATAATTATCCTAATGTAGGTTTGCACATGATTGGTGTGTATCCATGTGTAGCTCGATTTTCATTTGTGTATATGCGAAAGCTGAGATTTTGAGAGCTTTATTTCATTTTGAGACCTTTATTGGAACTCACAAAGTTTCTTTAAATTACTTCCCCCCACCTCTGTTCTCTGGTTATTGAGGGGTTTATTTGTCTGCGCCAAGCCTGGTGTCAAGTCCTGGGGATAAAGATCAATAAGACTAGGCTTTGTACTCGGGCCTGGATGCAAGTAACTCACTCTCTGGCAGGAGGTAGACCAAAGAAGCAGCCCTGGGACCCAGAGTGTGCCTGTTCAGCCTCCTAGTGTGGTTTCCGGAAGCTTACCAGGGAGCATCACTTACAATCTAGCCAAAATTTCATAGATTGTCTGTTTCTAGAGCACCCTTTTCAAGAGCCTCAGTTTTTATTAGTTATAATTTCCTAACATTTCAGTAAGAAACAAAACAAAAAACAAAAACAAAGAAACCCTTGCTGATAATTTGGAAGTGTTTTCCACGTGAGTAACTTTTTTAAGTATCTTATTTTAAAAATTTTGTTTCATTTTCCTCCTGGCTTTTTAAATATACTTAAAAATATTTTTAACCATATCTAATTTTTGCAACTTCTAAACAACTTTCTAAGCAGTCACCTCCTGACCCCCTTTCCCCCCACTTCGCTGTTCCCTCCTCCCCGGGCCACCTCCCTTTCTTTAGAGCCCCCGCATAATGCTATTCCTTTACAGTCCAGCCATCTGCCTGTTTTAGCCTCCTCTTCACTCTCCCTGTTTCTTCTATATAGATTTCCCCATATGTCTGCCTCCTCCTTTATCCACAAGTCCAGACACTCCTCCATAGCTTTCTTACCACCCCATCCTGGTGGCCCGTCTGTTCATAAATAACTCTTTCATCCGCTTTGGATCCCCAGCCCCCACTCGTGCTAAAAAGAGCGCAAAGAAACCTTAAGTGCGCAGAGCCAAGCTACCCAGCGCGGTTTTCATTTAGAGCCGGCTCCCTCCCTCCCATCACCTGCTTTCTTTCCCACTTTTCATTCCTTACCTTCTTTGTGCAGGTCCCCAGTTGCCCCTCGGCGTTTGTGCTGAACTGGCCACACAGTGAGTTGGTATCTTCAGGACAGTTTGCTTCTTGTGGGGAGACCTGCTTTTGCCCCGATGGGTTGCTCTTCTTGCAGCTGTCAAACTCAAGCTTTGTTCTCTGGGAAATTCATGGGATACCTCGGGCATAGCGTTCTCCTCACCTGGGTGCACGGCAACCACAGGGAGGCTCTGGATGGGTTCTTTTGTAAGCCTAGTTCTGTGCCACGAAGGGGCTGTTATAGGATAGCCCACTGGAACGGCACTGTTGAGGGCTCTGGAATGTTCTAGATACTTGAGATGCATGTTGCATATCCTGCCAGTGCTGTGTGCTGGTGATCGTCTCCCCACTGTTTAGGGGAAGCATTGGCATTTAGATTCCCTTTGTTAACTGTAGCCATTCCAAAATTGTTAGTGTTTTTCCTTCCTGATGTCAGTGATAATTTTATCCGGAGGCCCCGTGGAGATTTCACTCAGTAGGAAACAAATCTAGGTAAGATTGCCTTGAAAGTCAATCAAAACCTACAAGGACTAGTATATCATCCCCGTTGTTTTAAAGATAACATCGGAGCGGTCGCTAGGTTGTGCGCTGTGTCTAATGAGGACTAATGGTAAAGACACTTTGGCTCTGTCTGTCTGTCTTAGTCCTCTAACTAGGAAGGGAGGAAGGAAGGAAGGAAGGAAGGAAGGAAGGAAGGAAGGAAGGAAGGAAAAAGAAAACGTGGATTTAAGTTATCCTCGTTCTCTTCTGGGTGAACATCATGGGAAAATGAAAGAGAGAACAGTGTGTTTCTGAGGTGGTGAGAAAGAACTCTGCAGCTCTAGAAGGTTATTAACATCATGAAAATGAAAAATCTCCAAAAAATAAGGCATTTCGTTTTAAAGGCCATGTGTTTCCAAAAGGAGATTAGAGTATGTTTTGTTATTTTTAATGTATTTATGCCTTTATTTATTTTTGGTTTTTATATTGAAGAATGAGGCTTCATTGCTCCAGGGACAAGAGTGTCAGAAAAGGGGAACATGAAAGAATGAAAAGATGCTGAGCCAGCAGCAGACCACATGCCAGTGACTCAGAGCCTTTCTGGAATTCAAAGTTAGTCGCTAATGAGATACAAATTTCCAGGGGAAAACTTAGCTCAGAGTAAGACATTTTACCTCAGTCATACTGATGCCAAAGCTAGGTCTATGTGAAATTTGTACCAGTGTTGAGATTCTGCTAATCGGTAGCCATGCAAAGATCCAATACATTTTCAATGTTTCATCTTGTTAGAACATTTCCCTGGGAACATCTTAGGAAGGCTTTAAAAACCACTGAATTTTATAATAGTTTTGGTTATGGATAAAGTTTCACAGGCTGAGTATTTGCACATTATTGACCCCACAAGTATACAGCGTGTTACAGATCCCTCTGGGGTCTGTGCTGGATAGGAATGTATTGGATTATGGTGATGTTTCTAGGAGAGTGGAATTCTAAACTCCACTTTTTATTAAATGAAATTGATTGTCTCACCCACACCAAGTCATACACCCGAGATTAGATACTTAATACCTCAGTAGTCGTACTGTTATGGGGGCGTCTGCAGATGGTCTGCGACTTCAGACTAGAAAGGTCTCTGGAGATTGTAGACCTGGGAGGAAGGACAGTAGATTTTCTCCCTGTCACCCTTTTGCTTTCTGCTAACTCGAGTCATGCCGCCATGTACTTTTGTTTGGTTTGCAAACTGAAGTCCCAAAGCTTGAGCAGAGGGATTCCAAGGTTACTACCTTCCAGCAGGTACTTCAGGTCTTGCTGCCTCGTGTCTGCTCTCAAATTGGTTGTGGTCTGTGGGTGCTCAATTAGTTCAGGCTCTTTGCAGTGGGTTTTTACCGAGGGTGTGTCTATACTTAACATTCTTTTTTATAATAGTAAGTATAATTTTGTCTGCTTTTCATAGCCTTTTCTTTATGGTTACCAGTTTTAATTTTATCTAGGCAATTGGAAATCTTGGGAGAGGCCAGTCTAAAAAAGAAAATCCTTAGATTTTGGAGTTCAATACACATCTGCTTCCTAAAAGGAGCTCCTTCAATACCTTCTATGTTTCATTCACATAGCCTGCATTGATTGAGTGCTTATCGTGTGCGCAGCGATATGCTTTTTAATTGCTGGTACCCAGAATATTTAAGGAATAAAATATCTCATTAGCTCAGTATTTGGAGTACCACCTGTTTGAGTTTGTGCTAAGATCCCCAGAATGACAGATTCCCGTGAATTCGTGGGATCTTAAGGCTTCAGAGGACGCAGAGAGGTGAACGCACTGTCTGCTGCTTCAGGGATGCCATTCTGTGCGGGGACACATTTGTCACAGTTCACACAAGGAGTCTCTCAGTGTTTCTCTCTGTGAAGAGGAAAGAGGAGTGTGTTGACTTCACTGGGGGACAAGGACCTCCCAGGTCTCCTCACTGTCACAGGCTTCTTCTAGATGCCTGTCTTAGATGAGTGGACTTTTGATTCCCTCAGAGCACAGCAGATCTGCTATTGCTGTTTGGTGGATACAAGTAAACACAGTGGTCCTTCTAGAGCAAGAGGAGCTCTGTGGTTGACTGTGCAGTGTGCTTGGCAGAGGGAAGGATGTGTTCTGAAGCTGGCTTTTCCTTCCCCCTTACCTCCATTCCATACTTAGCGCTGTAGGAGGACCCCTCTGAGAGAGTTGCCGTTTTTACATTCCCTGTGTGCTCGTAGACTAAAGTATAATTGGTAAGGCTCCCTGGAGTAGTTTGCCTCTCCATCCCATTGGACTGATCTTGGTGTAGAGGGTTTGATTAGAGCTCATGGAGGGACTGTTTTTCAACGTATTCATATGGACGCTTGCGTTGGGGAGAATGTGTCTGTCGAGGTTATCAGGGTCTCAGGATTCTGTGAGGAGCAAAGCTCTGGAGGCGCTACCTTGGATTTACCCTTAGATCCACCCCAGATCCACTTCCAGGCCCGGCCCAGTGCTCACAGTGCGTCTTCAGATCTCAAAGAGTTTGATCAGCAATCAGAGCCACAGCAACCATATCACCTCTCCTAGGATTGCTCCAAGGATGGAAAATCCCAAGCCCTCGCGCTATACAATGCTTTCTGGGATAAATCCATGGGCTGTCAGAGACAATGAATTGACTGCGACCAGTCCTTCCATAAATAGGGCAAGAGGCCGAAATAAGCTTCCAGCATGGGATGGCAAAGTGACTTTCAGATGTTCAGCCAGATTCCTGGAGTGATGTGTGCAGGAAAGTGAATTTTCTGTACTTCCTCAAGTGGGGCCTGTTTCTCTCCTCTCTGATTCTTTAGCCGCCTTGTTGCATTTGCTGAAACTCCAAAGACAGAAGAAAGCTAAAAATGTGTAACTTGACAAAGAGAGCTGTAATGATATTTACTGTCAGACTAAAATCTGCCAGATTTTACAGATGTGAAAGTGCAGACATATCTCAGGCATCCTCCAACATCCTTGTGGCTCAGGCATCCACCAACATCCTTGTGGCTCAGGCATCCACCAACATCCTTGTGGCTCAGGCATCCTCCAACATCCTTGTGGCTCAGGCATCCACCAACATCCTTGTGGCTCAGGCATCCACCAACATCCTTGTGGCTCAGGCATCCACCAACATCCTTTTGGCTCAGACATCCACCAACATCCTTGTGGCTCAGGCATCCTCCAACATCCTTGTGGCTCAGGCATCCTCCAACATCCTTGTGGCTCAGGCATCCACGGGGACTTTTGCTGCACATTTGTAGAAATAGGTTGTCAGATAATTATTGTGAATACCCATGTCTCAATTTCCTTTTCCTCATCCCTGTGTTTCTCCATGACATTGAAGTGTGCTTTAATGTAGACAGAAGCACCAGTTTAGGGCAAAGAGGAAACAGGGAGTCATTCCAGCCCTGACATTTATTACTGGGATAAACTTTCAGTCACTGTTGTGGAACTCTGGGTCCTTGTTAATGAAACTCACTTTAGTCTTTCAAATCATGCGTTTATCAGGGATATAGCACCAAACGGACTGCTTGGCTTCTGGTACCAAAGACAATTGGCTTTGAAACCAAGTTCTACATGACTTATCTGTCTTCATTATGCCTTCCTCTTAGATCTTAGGGTTAATTACGGATTTCTGGTTCATGTGGATATTAAGGGAACACACCTCAGACTTCTACCGTGAACAAAGCCCTCAAATTCATTTTTATCTTCTAGTAAAAAAAGAAATAGAATCAAGGCTCAGCAACTCTTTATTTGACCTTTGGTGTTCAGTATAGTATTTCTCTAGTATGGCTCGAACGTTATTTTTTTTCTGGAAGTTCATTGACATTAAGAAATGATCAAAGGTGACCTAGAAGTAGAAAGCATGGTCACTCAACTGAGTCTTCAAATTGGGAATTACCGTGTAGGCTTCCTTCATTTGTATTGACCATGGTAAAGATTAGAAAACAAAGGAGACTTGTAACCAGCCCCTTTAAATTGGATATAATAATCAAAGATAGCTTTGTAGCACACTATAGGAGAGAGGACTAGAAAGAAGCTTGGGGCCGGTATTTAGAAAAAGACAAATGCATATTTAAACATGCTTCCAAACGGGAAGGGAGAAATGGTGGGAGACCTAGAAATGGGGAGAGAAGGAAGTGAGAAAGGTAAAGGGAGATGGGCTGAAAAGTTCTGAAGCTTAATTAACTGATCTTGTCACACACAGCTGTTCATTTGAGTCGTGGGCCTCCGAGTATTATTCCTTTTTATCACTGTCTTTTGAAATGCTAATTAGATAATTGACCATTGTTCAGTTCGTTGGCTACTTTTTATTCTTAAACTTTTAGAGACTAGTCCTTGAATGGGCTCCTCAGAGCAGCGTAGCAGATGGGAAATTACTCTCTGGCCTGGAGTTGCCAAATGACCACCTCAGTGGGGCCTTAGGTCTGTGAATCCCAAGCTGGGCCTAGCCTAAGGGGTGGTTAGCGTGCCTCCCATGATCATTCTGCGTCCATTGATTTTTATTTTGTCATGGTGAAGGGGGCTGCCTTTGTGTTTGAATGCAGATTTATTAGATGTACCCTAATCAATAAGAAGCCTCATCTGGGGAAATTATCTTTTGGAGAATGCTTGCAAATGATGAGTAACATACCTAGCGTCTGAAACAGCACTCATTGCAAGCACAATGTTCGTGACTCACTGTAGGCACAGTGTTTGCGTCCGACCTTCTCTCACTCCCGCTCTACTTAGTTTTAAAACATTAAAGCAGGTAATGTATGTGTAAGCATTCTGGACAAAGCACAATAAAGCATAGTAAGTAATACATAGTAGTCATCTATGTGGGAAACTTGCAGGAAAGCACTCTTGACAATGAGACATGACTCATCAGGAAAGGTCTCTGTTCTCTTTTACAAAAAAACAAAACAAAAAAACCACATTGTTGTTCCATAGATTCAGTGTGGTATGAAGACTCACTTTGTGTGCTGCTGCAGAGGCAACAAAGTAATCTGCTTGGTCCTTCCTATGTAAACATCAAAGATGACAAAATGTGAAAGTTAGAATGAAGGTTTCCATTTCTTTCAAATTTTGGTGGGTGTTTAAATGCAGATGTTTAGATAGGTTAACGAAGACAACTGACCTTTGTTGCATTCCTGCTGCATT